ACTGTGCTATATTTTCTTAGGCACTGGAAGCATTTTAGGCATAGAGAGCTCTGATTTGTGCCAAGTTCCTTGAAACCTTATGTAATTTGTTAAAAGGTTCAAGCGATTAAATAACCATGTATTTAATCCCCTCCAAAACATTTTAGTTCCTCTAAAGATATAATGCATAAATATGTGTTTAGGAGCTACTCCTTAAGTATGTTTAAGTTGTACAAGGATTTCCCTTTCAAATAAAAGTAATGGAGATTTTTTTTTTTTGTAGCTAGAGACTGGATATTTAGTTTAAGAAAGTGATCATGAGCCAGAGCATAAAATGAAAAATTAACATTATCTTATTTTGGTGTTTTGGCCCATCTTGAAACCTAAATCGACTTATTGACTACCAGCCCTCTTCTCTTTAGATTAGTTTAAATTCTCTCTTAAAAGAAAGCTGTAAATATACCCAAGCACAGATGACTTCTTTAATGACCAACTTAAAAGAATTCTAGACGCCTTTCCCCAAAGCCAGTTGCATATGTTTGGCAGTGGCCATTAGCTAATAGTAATGGATGGCTGTACTGCCTTTGATCATCAGAGAGAAAGGGTCCATGTGCAGCAAGGCTTCTATCCCAAAAGCTTACCCATAGGAAAGAAATAGGGTGTTCTCTTTCCCCTCTGCTTCTCTTCCTTGGCTGGTGACCTTATGCAAGAATTGGCTTTGTCAGATGTTGAGAGACAAAAATTGTGAAGCATATTCCAACCTGGTCAGGGACAAATTTCAAAGAGATGCAATGCCTATGAGAGGAAATGGACTGATGTTTTACTGGACTGTCTTTGAGATATAATGGTGTCTCAGGTGGCTTCCAAGAGACCGGGTAAGTTGCTGATTTACTGTCATGATATAACACTTCTGAGGGATGGCGGCATTTCCATCAGATAAGCATCAACTTCTACAGCCCCTGGTGAAAAAGAGTAACATAGACCTGCAGGGAGAGCCCAAGTCCATGTGTCTTTAAATAAAATCTTTAAGTGTGTAGCACAAAAATCACTCAGATTATTTGTGGTGGTTGCTTTGAAAGATATTGAAGCAACTTTTATTGAGTTTTACTGTCTCAACTTAATTGCTGTGCTGATACCTTAGATGATACCTTACTTTGTCCCTGGGCTGCAGCATTGATCATATGCTTAATCAATTCGCAGTTTAAAAACATTGGCTTATCTTGTTCTTTAACCACTTGTCTTTGTGTTGTTGTTGGTAATAATTGGTGGTGGGGATATTTCTGTGAGTGTGTGTGCAAGACGAGCGGAGGGAGGAGAGAGATTGAGATTGCAATTTGGCTTGATAATTGTTAGTACAACTTCTGTTGTTTGGTCAGGTAGTATAACGGAGTGTAGGTTTCAAAAATAGCCTGTATAGTTTGCTGCTAGAAATCTTTCCAGCAGGGGAGTAGCCATATCCACTGAATGGTGAGAGAGCAGGAATTTGGACTGAAAATCAGTGATTTTAGTTATAGGTCTGCCTTCCACTTACTGATTACCACAGGGCCTCAGTTTTCTCATCTCTAAAATGATCGAGTTGAATCAGATAATCTCAGAAGAACTTTCTGCCTGTGGAGCTTTAGGACTAATTGCTGAGACCTGTAATAGCAAACGTATAGTCTGTGCCTATTTAGCCAGAGCCAGAGTGGGTGGTTCTCATGAAGACGAGAACACCTGAATAAACTGCGGCTCATTTCAGGAGTAAAGGTTGAAGCCTGCAGGAGCTTACTATAAAGGCTGCTGTTACCATAAGGGTTTCCCAGCCATCTGAGTACAGTGGCAACAACTAAACATGACTTTCTTGTCTAAATTATACTGTGACCTCTTTAGCTATTTTCCCTCTAATTATGAGAGTAATAAGTACTTGTGGGATATTATGGAAAAATTAAGAAAATGCACAACATTAGAAAGAAAAATATCACAATTCACTTCACTCTGATTCCACTAAATAGAAATCACCATCGTAGCATTTAGCATATTTTCTTTTCAGTCTTCTTCCTGTGCATATTTTGAATAGCTAGATATATTTAGATGGATAGAATTTGCTATGCTGTTTTTACATTTAACAAAAGTATTTGTTCATTTAACAAAAGTATTGCTTTTATTATAGCAAAAGTATTTTCCCATGTCATTAAGAAATACCTTCTTCATCATTATTTCCAGCTCTGGATAATCTATCCTAAGACATAATGTTAAGGGCAAACCATTATTGAACACATAATATGCCAGATACCAGGCTAGAGTCTTAACATGCGTATCAATTCTCACAGTATTCTTAGGAGATAGGTAATATTATTACCTGCAGTTTTTCAGACAAGGAAGCCAAAGCTCAAAGTTCAATAACTTGCCCATGGCTACCAGGTGGCACAGCTGAAATTTGAACCGAAGTCTTTCTTATCTGTGGTCTCAATCTCTGTACTATATTTAACAATTTCTCTATTGTCACACTTTTCCTTAGTTTTCCTATGAATAATAATATATTAAATATTTAAACACAAATTTTCCACATTTTGAATTAAATCTTTAGAATAGAATTCTGGAGGTAAAGCTTGTGCTTCAAAAGAATCTAAACAATTTACATACACTCAGAATGTATTTGACTTTCTTTTGTTCCACAGAAAATATCATTTTGATATTTTATACGACTGTACCTTGCTTTTAGTGTAACATGACTGCCTCACTTGACATTGAATTTGGTTCTTTACTTTCCAGTTTTAATTTGGCTTTTTAAAAAATTCATAAAGAATTCTTCTGCATTCTCAGTTGTACCAGGAACCATATATTTTATTTTAGAGGCTAACAACAACATATATTTTTTTAACCTTTGTGTATTTAGTAACCTGACTGGCTTTAATATTCAAATCAGGGAGATTTGTAACAATTCTGGAAAATTAGATATCTGCAATGACAGGCTATGTTCAAGAAATTTTTATTTGTGAATATGAGAACAGAAAGTCACAGTAAGAATTTGGATTATGTTTTAGGCATGCTTTGACATTATATTAAAGTTTGGTATAATGGTGCTTATTTCTTCAAAAGCAGTAAAATTATTAAAGTGGTGAAATGCTTTTTAAGTGAAAATCATGGTCGTTATGACTTATTTTCTGGCAGTTACTTGTTTTTAATGATCAATTTTGTCTTTTCTTTGGTTAGGTCTACCTCTGTTGGTTCAGAGAACGATTGCGAGGACGATTGTACTTCAGGAAATAGTAGGAAAAGGTAGATTTGGTGAGGTCTGGCATGGAAGATGGTGTGGGGAAGATGTGGCTGTGAAAATATTCTCCTCCAGAGATGAAAGATCTTGGTTTCGAGAGGCAGAAATTTATCAGACGGTTATGCTGAGACATGAAAACATCCTTGGTTTCATTGCTGCTGACAACAAAGGTATTTTCAATCTGATTGGGTTCAGCAAATAATGTATTATGTCTATTATCAGATAAGAATAACTAATCTGTTTGTTTTAATAAAATCTGCATGAAAGTCTGATTTCTTCTTTGAGGAAAGAAAATGCTTTCCTCTTCTTCACAGGTAAATGTGCATAACCATACAATAAAGCAGGGCAAATGAGTGATATGAAATTATGGTGACACTATAGCCAGCTTGATATTGAAAATATTTGATGAATGGTATGGCACAGGAACTAACCAATCAGAACAGCAGCTTCAACTGGAACAAAGTCCTGGGAGAACACTGCCATGCTGGGTTTTAACCCTTTACTTGCTGGGTCGTGAAAAGATCTGGAGGTATTTTGTGGGTTTGGGAGTTGCTTTGGATATCTAGGCAAAGGAATACCATTGGAAGTTTTGAATATCAGCTGTTAACAATTGGCACAGAAATATTTCAATATTTTGATAACTGGTACAAACATACCAACGAATGCTAGCCAAATATTCATCTCTGTTAGGACTGTACTTTTCATCTGTACAACAAACTTTAAGTTTAGGACTCAGGTTTTCTAAGACATTATCAGAATGGTAACAAGCAAGATAATTTTGGTGAAATTTTCTATTAATGTGCTTTGAATATGGTTTATATCTTGAGGTTTAACATTAACAACCCCAAATGGTACTACTTTCTGAGATTTGTGGAACAAGACAGGCCATCAACTTTTTGGTATTTAAGTCAATAGTCATAAAGTATTTTATGTATGTCCATTAATCAGGGACTAGGTATAGAGTTTGTGGATTACCTATGCTCTCTTTCTTCTTTTTGCGTTGCTTTTACTCACTTAACTGTGCAGTACTTCCTTTAAAGGGAATCAGGGAACAAAGGTGAGCAAAACTTGATCCAGTCAATTTTTTTTTATTTGAATCAGTAATACTCGTGAAGAACTTTGGAGAGGTAGAGATTGTAACCTTTACATAAAGAACAAATTATCTGTGGATATCAGATACCTACCATTACCTATGAAAATTAAAAATCTAAGGTTATTTCTATTTAATATAGATTATGAAAGTATTTATTATTAATTAGATGGCCAAAGAGACACAGTGTTATACATTTTGGCCATAGTTACATTTGCTAATGATTTATCTTTTCTGATTTGTCAGGGAGAAACTGAGTAAAGCCAAGTAAAGCCAGGGACAAACTGAGCTTAAAGAAAAAGGTTCTTTCCAAATTCTTAACTGTAGTATTCAAAATGAAACATTTCTTATTAAACTGTTAAGAACTTTTACTTTTCCTTCGTAACATGGAACTAAACTACTTACCGGTTAGCTTAATTTACAGTGTTGTGAAAGCAGAGATGACTGCAGTTATATGGATCATCTTGATGAGGCTAATTTAATCATGACATTTATTGGGTTATAAAACATTGTGTGCAAGAAAGAGCACCCTCGATTTTCTCTTCTTCAGTTTGACTGGTCTTCCTCTGTTAATGATTTGTCACTGGCTTTGATTCCAAATGCTCTCTAATATCACTTTCTTCATGCATTTCTGTATCTCTTGCAACATTTACAGTTTCACTTTTTAGTCATCTGCCTGATAAACACATTGACAAAGACATTGAAGTGAGAGGGCAAAGATAGCCACTGGTGTTAAGCAGGGAGAGAGGTATGCATAAGAACTGGTTTGATATATGGTCAGTTTATTAGTGAACTTTATCATGTTATGTTGACTTTTGCACTCCCAGCAAATTTTATCACTACCCGGATTGGAAATTAAATATTTGGATAACCAAGAGCTCTTGAACATAAAGCACTAGGTAGAAAAAGTCCTTAGCAAATGTTCATTAATTATAATTTCCTTTCTCTGAACATCAGAACTGGTCAGGACTACCCAGGGCTACTGTAGACATTTGATTCCAAGAGTTAAAACTAACTGTAGGGACACTGATAATACCTAGAGAAATTTTAGGCTGATTTTTCTTCTGATAAAAATCTTTTGTAAGCTGGATTAGCTTTTGGTTAAATGAGGTAAATTATTTGAAAATGTCTAGTAATTGTGTTTGGCACCTAATATAAGCTTTGAGGGAAATCATAAACTTCCTGTTTTGAAAGGTGAATAACATGAACATTCTTAGAATGTTGGAGCTTTTATGTTAGTAATAATGCTTTGTGTAAATTTGTTATATTTCTGTTTTTTATTGGTATAATCTTTTTTAAAAGCTCAAGAATAATTTATAACACAACACTGAGACTAAACGCATCTCTCAGTACTTTCTCCTATAATGTGGTTGCTATTACCAGCAGGTACTGATATAGCGGGAATAAGAAAGGAGTTGTTCAGTTGTTAGAATCACTGCCTCACAGCTCCCTGTAGCTATGGTGGATACATATAACAGGTTCTAATATATCAATAGGAACTCATGGAGAATTTTCACTCTACTAACTTGGACTGTAAGTATTATCACTGAAGGAATTAACTTTGCTTTGTTAACAATACAGATTTACTTTAAACACTGACATTTGTTAAAAGCTTCTGGCTTCTTTCTCAACATATATTTATAGCAATAAAATAATTTTTTTCCTGTTAGATAATGGAACTTGGACTCAACTTTGGCTTGTCTCTGAATATCATGAACAGGGCTCCTTATATGACTATTTGAATAGAAACATAGTGACAGTGGGTGGAATGATCAAACTGGCACTTTCAATAGCTAGTGGTCTGGCCCACCTTCATATGGAGATTGTTGGTACACAAGGTATGTATTTTCTTTCTAATTTTTTTCTCCTTGAATAAGAGGGTAGAAACACTAAGTTGTATTTCATTGTTCAATTGTGTGTTAGTTTATTACAAACTATTATCAAATGTAAAAAACCACTGAAGGTATCTTATGAAGGTTTTGTCATGATATAGCCAGCTCTCACCTACATACTTGTCATTTATCCGTAATAATATTTTTATTCCTAGTGGCTCTATCTTTGCCATTTAGCATATATACCTGGAAGATCTTGCTTTGGTAGCAAATGCTCTGTTTTCAGAGAATGCAGATAATTTAACTCTTTACCTTTGATAATTAAAATAATTGGAAAAGGTAAGGGATCTTGAAAAAATATTTATATATCATGTACTTAACGCCAAATAATACCCACTGTGTTTTCTATTTATTGAGATAATAGTGAAATGGCTCTAGAAAGTCATTAGTCTAGTCAGGGTAGTGCTCCTCAGATTTGGATCCCTTTAAACTCTGAAAAATTAGTGAGGACTCCAAAAGTTTCTGTGTATGTGGATTATATCTATTAACATTTACTATATTAGAAACTGAAATTGAGAAATTTAAAATATGTATTAATTTACTTTAAATATAATAACTAACCAATTAAATGTTAAAATAAATAACATAGTTTTAAAATTTTACATATTTTATAATACAAAAACCAATCTAGTGAGAATAATGGTTTTGTTTTACATTTATGCAAATCTCCTTAATGTCTGGTTAAATGTCTGGATTTTCATACCTGTTTAGTCTGTCCCAGATTGTTGTTTTGGTTGAACTATATGAGGAAAAAGTGATATTACACAGATATGTAGTTAGAAAAGAGCCTCAAGTACCCCCAGGGGAACTTTGGCCCACATCTGAAAACTGCTGGTCTAGGGTAGTACAGGTTCGAAACTTGTTTTGTAAGAGAATATTTGCTATGTTCTTATGTGGA